CCTGCAGGCAGCCCCCTCACTCTGCTGCCCCCACCTCCACGACCTGGCCCAGTACCTGCGGGGAGACAGCCTGGAAGCACCCAGTGGGGGCCTTAGGGGCCCCCAAAGTGGGCAGGATCTGATCTGGGCAGCCAGGGCTCCCATTCTCAGGCCACTCATGTCTGTGCATGTGAGGAGACAGAGCCAGGTGGGGGCAGGCTGCACCCCCACTCCACCCCGGGCGGGTGGAGAGCCAGACCCTGCCTCCCTGCTGACGTGCGCAGGTGGCAGTGCCAAGCTGTACTCAGAGCAGGAACGGGGACATGGGGACATGGATGGCAGGGGAGGCAGGCTGCACACCAAGGCCACATCCCAGGGCCTGAGGGGACCAGGCACAGGCGGGCAGACTGAGCGCCTCTCACACAGCTGGCCAGGGTCCACGCTGGCATCCACGTCTACGTCCACCAGTGCTCGGCAAGGGCCAAGGGGGGCTCACGGAGGGAGAGACTCTGCCCCATCAGCCGGGTCTGCTGAGACTCCCTGTATGTGTGTGCAGGGGGCGGGTACACTGGGCACAGCGAGCGACTGGGCTGGCCTCTGCCCACAGCAGCCAAGTGGGAGCTCAGAGGCAATAAAGAGAAACCACCACCCAGGGCTGTGCATATGGGTGGCACGGGCACCGGGCCCCTCCCCCCCCCCCGACTGGGCCCTCGTCCTGGGCCATTCTGTCCTCAGACAGCTCTGGGAGGGGGGCCTTTGCGTCACGCATCCCACCTGCCTGTGACCCCCCACCCCGGCTAAGAGAGCCCACTGTCAATGGACCAGCGGCTCCAGGGGTCCAGAGATCCAGGGCAGCAGGCCCGTGGCAGCTGCCTGTGTGTCTGTATGTCTGCGTGGGTTCCTCAGGAGCCACACAGGTGGGCGCCTAACCCCTCCCCTATTTGGAGGCCGGGGTAGGGTGGGCGGCTACTTGGCCAGGACAAAGTTCTCCTCCCAGAGCAGCCATGCCAGGACCCCGAGGCCGCTGCGCCCCCGTGTTTGCCGCTCCCGCAGGCAGTGTGGTGGTGACGAGGGGCAGGGGGACGGCGTGGGCCTCCAGGTGCTGCCCCAGGCCCGGCCAGTCCTCATCTGACCGCAGGGAAGCGCTTGTGTACGGCCAGCATGGTACAGGTACAGCAGGCTCCAGGCTCTGGCCCCCAGGAGCAGCCAGGTGGGCACAAAGGCTGACGCAGCAGGGGCTTTATAAACACCTCTGGCCAGAACGGCGGCACTGATTCTACAACCCGACCACCCGGTGCCTCAGTTTCCTGTCTGTGAAGCCAAGGATAACGGCGGTACCCACACCTCACTGGGTGAGTTCCATGGGGTGGACCGCGGCAGGCTGGCTCACTCATTCCTTCACTCACTCAGCACACAGACCCTGCGCAGGGCACCGGGAAGCTGACGGGCACCTGGCAGAGGGGGCCCTGGGCAGCTCCCCACCCCGGCTCCTATTGAATCACACTTCGGGAGGGTGCTGAGAGAGGACGAGGAGAGGCTCTCCCGGGAGGAGAGGCCCAGCCTGCCTGGCTCTGGAGGCTGCGCGCAGTCACCACGGAGGCCTCCCTGTGCTGGGCAGGTGGGACAGCTGTGTGAACCGACTCCACAGTGCCCGGGGACTGAGGCCTTCTGGGGTTCAGAGGGGGACTGGGCACGACACCCCCTTACTAGGGTGAGGCCGGCAGGGGTGGGGGCCTCCCTAACAGGAGGCCACACCGTCAGACCCTGCTCTCACACCTCCAGTGACAGGGAGTTCACCCTCTCCCATGCATTCACGTCTTCATAACGGGTTGAAACCAGCCTCTTCACCTTAGACATCCGGGGTCCCCCAGGTCTGGCTCTGTCCCCTGAGGACAGCCCTGCAGAGACTGGCTCCTGCCTGGCCTCGACCTCCCAGCCCCCCTGGCCTGTCTCCCCTAGACACACTCCTGTCCACTTTCCTGAAACAGATAGGCATGCCTTCCCCAATCCACTGTGTCTACTGGGCTGTGAACCACGCAACCATTAGATACCTGCTGTGTGCAAGCCCGGAGGGAAGCGGCTGAGTCAGGCCTTGCCCCTCAGGTGAGAAGGAACTTGGCTCCTGGTCCTCCTCTGGGCACCCTCAAAAGCCAGGGGCCTGAGCTCTCCTCTGAGATTGCCCACTGCCCCATCCAGAGCCAGGCCCGCTGGCCCACATCAGCTGCGGCAGGCCCTGCACCCACAGGCAGCACCCCGTCACCATCCAGTTGCTATCCCTCCCTGCCGCAGCCCTCACGGACCCACTGACTCTTCCGAACGGGAAAACCACCGCAGTCTGATGGAAGGGGAGCACAGTCTATTTAAGGCAGGAGCTGCCAGGTCCCGGAACGTGAGGGGGAGCAATTAGCTCCGACAGCCCGTCAGCACCTCCACAAAGTGGGGGGCCTCACCTGCGGTTAACCATTTGCTGTGAACGAGCAGAACTCTTGACAGACAGGCCGCCTGGGTGGGTCATGGGAGGGCAGCCCCCCTTGACCACCTCAGTCCACTCTCCCCGGTGGCGTCCCCTTGTCTGCTGGCCAGCCCGTGATGACCTGTTCATCGACCCAGAGCCACGAGCACTTGAGGAAGGGATGGGGGCGCAGCGTCTGGGCAGTGGTCAGGAGGGGCCTGCCGCGTCAACTTGGCTTCTTTAACAGACAGGTGACACTGACCTAGTGACACCTGGGAACAGTGTGGGGGTCTCAGACCCCAGACCCAAACCCAAATGCGGATATGGGCTCACTAGGGCTGCAGCATTCCCCCCCACCAAGGGCCCCTGCCGTGGGCAGCACCGTGAAGGGGTTTGGGGCGTTTGCCCTGGGTCTCTGCCTTCTCTGCTGCAGGGTGACTAGTGGGAGGCCCAAGCCTAGGTGACTGTCCCCACCCTTCGGAGTGCAGATGGGGAAAGTGAAGCCAGAGAAGGCAAATGTCCTGTCTAGTCGCAGGGCCAGAGGGAGCAGCAGGCCAGGCTGGAGGGAACTTCCCACCTCCAGCTCCTGCGGGATGTGCCTGTGGGGCAGGGCTGGCCATCTTCCCTCCAACTCTTCCTGTGTCCAGCTAGGGCGGGGCACTAATGCTGTGGTCACCACTGAGGCCAGCCACTATGCAGCCTGGGGCCCTGGGTGGCCGGACCTCAGGAGGCCAGGCAGACAGATCTCCCTGCCTGTGCTCCCCAGGAGCTTCCCTCCTGAGGTCATGGTCACTCTTCGGGTCCCTCCCTAAAATGGGGTCCGGAGGTGGGAGTGGAGGAGCACAGGGCCAGCCTCTCCCACTCCCAGGCCGACCAGCCCCACCTAGGAGGGACAGAGAGCAGGGTGGAAGTTTGCTCCGGCAAGCCCTGCCTGTGGAGGGTGGCAGGACCCGGTGTGCACCCACCTGCGCGTGGGCAGCTACAGACCCAATAGCACAGGTAGAACCCCAGGCCGGCGCGCGCCTTGCGGTGTCACCTGGGCAGCAGACCCGAAGTTGAAGTTTATTTTCTCAACTGTGGCTGATGCGCGGTTAGGATGTGGCAGCCGCGAGGCGGGGAAATTCTGCCGGGTGGGGCGGAAGCCGGGCCGACCACCGCGAGTCCCCGCCCGGGAGCCGGGAGCCCGCCGCCCTGCGCCGCGGGGCTGCTCGCCGCCACCGGGGCGCATACGCCGCTGCTCCTCCCCGCTCCCCAGCCTCAGACGCCCTCCCCCCCCGCCTGGACTCAGTTTCCCCAGGGGCTCCTGGAGAGTCCAGAGGGCGCGGACTTACCGGGCGGGGGCGGCGGCCGAGGGCGGGGGCGCGGCCAGCACTCCGTGCTGTGGGTCAGGGCCGCGGGCAGCCGGCCACCGCGGGCTCCGCACGGCTCCCGCTCGGCTCGGGCTCGGGCGGGGCACGCGGGAGGAAGGGGAGGCGCCGCCCGGCCCCGCCCCGCCCGCCCGCCCGCCGGCGGCCACGTGGGGAGCGGGCCGGGGGCGGAGTTGGGGGGGGGGGTGCTGGGGAGGCCCCGCCCACTCCGGCTGGGGCCGCAGGGCGCCTTTGGGGGCTCTCCCCACGCCTGTAAACCCCCCCGCCGCCTCCTCCGGAGGTCCGCCCCTCCCCGCCTTGGCGGCCTGGCTCCTGGTGGGCGGGGTGGCGCTGGGGGTGGCACACATGGAGCGGGGGCCTGGGAAACATTTGGAAGCCGTCTCCTCACCTCTGACCTAACTGCTGCCTCCATCTCTGGTCTACACTGCTCTCCCCACCCTACCTCCTCCGCGTCCACCGCCCACTGGCAATGAGCCTTCTGACCGGCTCGCCCACGGAGGCTCCCGGACAAAGTCCGGCGGGTGGGACCGGCTTCCCAGGCGTGGTAACTCCTCTCCCTCTGCCACCTGCATGGGACCCCTGCAGGGACCAGCTGATTCCACCGTCCCACCTTGGGGTTCGAGGTTTGGTTGTGGGAGATTGCTCTTCCTGGGCTTGTGGGATGGGGAGCGTCCCTGGACGCCCCCTCCCTGCAGCCCTCCTTGACACCCTCCCCCCGATGGGGTCTGGGGGTCTCTGGGCGGCCGGCCAGTGCAGGCAGCAGGCCTGAGAGGCCTGAGGAAGCTGCTCGTGCCCCAGGAGGCCTGAATGCTGTGACCAGTTCTTGGCCGCCCCCTCTCACTGCCTGCCTTGACGATCCTGCCAGGCCAGGGCCCCACCCACCCGTGACTTCCACACTGCCCAGCGTGGGGTCTGCCTGTAGCTGGCTCTGGAAGCCGGGCTGGCTGGCTGGAGAGAGCCAGGCCCTCAGCTCTGGAAGTCCCTTCTGACATCTAACCCTCCCTTGGAGCTCAGAGGGAGCAGGCCTGGGGGCCAGGGGGCCATGGGTGCGTGAGGGGGTGGGTCCAGCCCCAGGCGGATGAAGGGGACAAACCTCTGCCCCGAGGGCCCTGGCCCGGCCCTCTGAGTGTGTGACCTTGGGCTCAGTCGTGACGTGAACTGCTAAGCCTCAGTTTCCCCATCTGTGAAAGGATGACAAGTACCTCTGAGGGTTGTAAGGAGGGTGAGATGAGCCGATGTGGATGCAGTGTGGCCGTTGGTTGGTTCTGTCTGGATGGATCTCTCCGGAGACCTGCGGCATGCAGATTGCAGGCAGGCTGGTGGGTGGGTAGGGCTCTGGCTGGGGAGGGTGGGAGGGCCTTGGGCAGAGGGAAGGACTCGGGATGCAGATGCTTCAGACCAGGGTCCAGGTGGCTTCCCAGGCTCGCTCCAGCTTCAGTCCTGTGGCCAATCTTGCTGCTCAGTGTGCCACTCTGTCGGGTGGGGGTGAGGCCCGGAACTCTTGGCCTGTAAATGTCCACTCCCAGCGAGTGCAGCCCCTGCCCAGCCCAGCAGCCCTCGGAAATCATCTTGGCTCAGCCCCAGTTTGGGAGCGGCTTCTGGTAACAGGCCAGTGCCCAGTGAGGGCCCCTGAGTGCCGGGCGTGCCCCAGAGCACGGCCGAGGAGGGTGCCTGCTGACTCTTGGGCACCCTCCAGCCTGGGCAGCCTGGGGATGTGTGAGTGTGGCGGCTGCTCCTGCGCAAGGACTTGCCCGCCATTCTTGGAATGCGCCGAGTCCTTGAAGGGCGGGGCGTGCCTCGGCCTGGAAGGCTGGCCAGGCCTTCCCCACCTGGCTCCTCCTGGAAGCCTTCCTGCCCTCCCCCCAGAGCTGGGGTTCAGGCCTCTCTGTGCTGGCACCACCTGGGGTGGGGGTGGGAGGCACGGGTGGCTGACTCATCACTGTCCCGAGCTGGCGCCTGGTTGCAGCTGGCTATGGTCAGTGGGTGTGTTTTTGAGCCGGTGATGGAGAAATGCAAGGGATGAGGGTGAGGAGTGACCTTCCAGCCATCAGCCGGGCCTGGTGTGGGCCAGGGTCTGTGTCTCAGGCATCTTGCCAGCCTTCTGGGGCCCACTCGGGCATGAGGACCCCTGCCCGGCTGGAGGAGAGGGAGGCTGGAGGGAGGCCAGTGCCCCCTCGGCAGGCTCCTGCCCAGGGTTTTCTTCCCTGTGCACCTGCTAGGTGTGTGTGGGGGCTCAGGGACAGAGGCCCCAGTCCAGGCTCTCTAGGTCCGACTGGTGCCCTGGGAAGGTGCCAGGGAGGAGGCACACCTACGCTGGACCCCGAGGGTGAGTGAGGTCACCACAGGCCAATAGGTGACAGGCTGGAGCAGGGCGAAGACGGCAGGGGGCCTCTGATAGGGCGTGTGTTCGTCAGTGTGTGTGACTGGGCAGGTGCATGTGTGTGTGTGAGGATGTGTGTGTATGTATGTCTGTGTGTGTGTCTGTGTGGGGGGGGTGTGTCCACGTGTGGAGGGCGGCTGGAGTCAGAGGTCTGGCAGGCTGTGGGCATGGACACTGGTCTCAGAGGGGCTTTCCCTCAGGCCTCTGGCTCCGACCCACCATGCCCAGGGTCTCAGCTTTGCGCAGCTCATCCTACTCTAACCACTCATTTCTGAGACCTACAGAGCCACCTGCCTTCCTGGCCCCATTTCTTTTATGAGCTCTACTGCTGACCCTCTGCACTGCCAGGCAGCCCACCATCCCAGCCCCATTCTGAGCGGGTTTCCTGTCCCTGAGGGTGAGGGGAGGACCCATTCGGCCTCAGAAATGCCTCCTGCAGCCACTGCCCAGCACATGGGGCCCCATCTGGCTTCCGGAAGTTCTTTCAGGAAGCCATCGCCCACCTGGCGGGTCCCATCCAGGGGCCTGGGTCTGTCCTTGGAGCTGGGGGTGCACACATACCCACCACAGCTCTGGACGCCCAGATGTGCGAGGACAAGGTACATGCTGGAGGTCCAACACATGGCCACCCCCAGCCACCTCCAACACTCCGGCAGAAGCCCACGTGCTGGCCTGAGACTGACCCGCAGAGAGTGTGCCCCCACCTCGACAGGCTCGAGACTTGGTGAGCCTGGGAGAGCCCCCTGCCTCCTGCTGGGAAGCAGACAATGGGGACTGGGATGAGGGGGAGCAGGCTTCGGTGCCACCAGCGTGAGCTTGGCTAGCAGCAGGCAGGCAGGTGTGCGCACTTCTCAGAGAGAAGCCTTCCCAGCCCAGCGTCTGATGCAGAGGTCAAAGCCCGGACAGCCTGAGTGGGGTGGGCCGGCACTTTCTGGGCGGGAGGGGCCACTCAGGTCCCAGCCAGCAGCAGCCTGGCCCTGGGTTTCATTTCCTCTGTCAGTTCAGCGCCCAGGATGCTTTTCATCTTTTTGCTTCTGAAGTGTTCTTTCTTTTGTATCCTACTGGGGTGCCCTGAGATGACCTGTGATGCTGCTACAGAATGAAGTCAGTGAATCCACCCTCCCATCCATTCACACTCCTTCCATTCATCCACCCACCCATCCACCTCTCCACCATCTATCTATCTATCCACACACCCACCTACCCATCCACCCATCCATCATCCACCCATCTACCTATCCACCCACCCACCAACCCATCCACCTCTCCGCCATCTATCCACCCACTCACCCACCTATCCACCATCCATCTACCCACCTGCTCACCCACACATCTACCCACCCACCCATTCATCCATTCATCCACCTGCCCACCTATCCACCTATCTACCATCATCCATCCATCCACTCGTCCACCATCCATCTACCTACTCACCCACATATCTACCCACCCACCTATCCACCATCCATCATCCATCCACCCATCCACCTATCTGCCAATCCACCATCCATCCATCCACCATCTATCCATCCACCCACGCACCCACCTACCCATCCACCCATCCATCATCCACCCATCTACCTATCCACCCAGCCACCCACTCATCCATCCTCCATTCTCCCATCCACCATCCGTCCACGCACCCACCCACCCATCCACCATCCACCCATCTACCTATCCACCCAGCCACCCACTCATCCATCCTCCATTCACCCATCCACCATCCATCCATCCACCCATCCACTCTGGGCCTCATGACACACCTGCCTCTCCCTCAGCACCCTTGCTCTGTAGCCTGCAGCTTTGGCCACTGTGTTCTCAACACCCTACAGGCAGCCTCTCAGAGTTCCCCAAATTTCTCCTGCATTTCTCAGTTGAAACTCCAGAGAGCATCTGAGTGCCAGCCTATGTGTGCCTGCCTGGCTGTGGGAGGTGGACCTCAGTGAGGGCCCATCCCTGGTCTGGGGTCAGGGAGGCAGGAGCCAGAACCAGATAAATGCTCTGAGAAGGGACAGTGGGCAGCTCAATCAGTCAGGCAGTATCAGGCAGTAATCTCTACCCTCTTCATTTGCATACCACACACACTCACAGAAGATTCTCATCATGTGCAGATTCTTTATTTGGAAACTAGCCTTCTCTTGAAAATGTGTTTGTAACCCTGAAGTCACTCCTTGCTTGTACAGTGATTTGCCAACACGAGCAGAGCAGCACAAACTTTGAGTCCCCAGCTGAGGGGAACGAGGGGACACTCTGCCTTCTTGTTTCATCTCACACTATAAACGTGTCCTCCTGGTCTATTTAGTACCATATTTTCTGCACTTTGGTGCTTTCTGTTGGAGATTTCGCTGTTTAAAATGGCCCCAGGCCTGGTGCTGCAATGCCGGCCAGCGTTCTCGAGCCCAGGAAGTCCAGGCTGGGCCTCATGGGAAAACACCTGTGTCGGGCGAGCCTCCCTCAGCGTGAGTTGGAGGCTGCTGGCTGTGAATTGGATGTGGATGCATCTGTACTGACTAAGGTGTCTGAACAGAAGCACTGAATGAGGCAGTCTTGATGGGCTGATGGAAGTGTCGTGCCCAGAGGCTGGCAGGACCTGACCCTGTTTCCCCAGGAGTGATGGATGGCTCTATACTCACTAATTCAGTGTTAGCAGTGACTACAGACCATAACCATCGTGCCCTGGGGCTGGCTGAGGTCGGAGGTGGATCCCGCAGCTGGGTGCACGGCACACGGGCACCTGCTCCTTCTGTTCTCCCTGTGTCTGCAGGCCAGTCCAGCCATGGCCTTCCTGTGGGCAGTATGGCCTGGCCAGCTCAGGAAACTGCACTGCACAGAGGCTGGGGTGGTGGCAAAGCTGGCTGCTGTGCAGGCTCTGGGTCCCCGTGTCTGTGGCCTGCCTCCCCTCTGGCACGTCTCTGAGCCGGCTGGGCCAGCGTTCTTGCAGGCAGTTAGCGCCCGGCCCTGGGGAGTGCCGGGGACCACAGGTGGAGATGCAGCCTGCAGAGCAGAGAGGAGCCTGGCTAGGTGGGAGCCAGTGGCCTGGGGCCTCTGCTGACCCATAGAGAGGCTTGGGCTGTCCCTCGCCTTCTCAGCCTCCCCTGTTACCTCTGTTGCCCAGTGAAGTTCTAGACGGATGGGTGGTTTTCTGCTTGGTTCTGCACAGACTAGGCACGCTGGGGTGGAGAGCAGCTCAGCTGTGAGGGTTTCATATATTGGGCGCTGCGCATCGTTTGCTCGAAGAAAGTTTCTGTAGCTGAAGAGGCAAGAAAACACTGGGCCTTGCGGCCTGGCTTTGGGAATGTGGGCGGACTGTGTGTGGGGGGCACACCAGATGGAACCCTCGGGGGCTCCTTAGAGTTCTGGGAGTGAGGAGGTGCTGAGCCCCCCGTGCCCCAACCTGGTGTCCGCACTCCTGCAGCAGCACCATACTCACCCTGCCCTTGGCCTTGAAGCCGCAGACTGTGAGGGTGGGTCTCCCTCTCCCCTCTGGAGAGGCACAGCTGGGGGCAGGGGAGAAGGACCTGGGGGCTGAGGGGCAGAGATGCAATTGCAGGGCGGGGGGGCGCCTTTAGCCTGAAGAATTGGGCCCTCCCTGGTGTTCTTAGGCAATCAGGGCTGCAATCCGTCGCTGGGGGTTTTGGCCACTGGCCTGTTTCTTAGGGATGCGGCGTAGGTCTGAGTGGGTCACAGGAGCATCTGTGAATGGAATGAGGATGCTGCTGGTGGCTGTGACCCTGCAGGTCCCTGCCCCCTGCCTCATTCAATCCTTCCACTCCTCCTGTCTCCGGCCTCCAGCCCCGACTCCAGACCCCCCCACGCTGCAGCCACCTGCTCCTCCCAGGATAACCCGTGTTCCTGTCTGGCTCCGTTTTGCCCCAGCCATCCCTGAAGGAGGCTCTGAGCCTCATCACCCTCGTGGAAAAGACTCCACTCGCACCTCAGCTCACTCAGAGGCGGAGGAGGGGGTTCCTTGAGCTC